AGGGTTAGCGTTAGGTTTAGCGTTAGGTTAAGGGTTAGGTTTAGGGTTAGGTTAAGGGTTAGGCTTAGGGTTAGGTTTAGGGTTAGGTTTGGGGGAGTTAGGTTTTGATTTACGTGTTAATTTTAAGTTTACCGCTCACAGCGTGCTGTTTTTGTCGCGCTGTGATGACGTCACATACGCGCTTTTGTCGAGCGCGCTTTAGTCTACCACAGTTTTGTGGTGGAACCAATAGATCAATAGACTATATTTCTTGATTCCCACACTGCCTTCTCTGTGACGTTTAAACTATTTTCCCACAGAAGAAAAGAAACAGAGACAAATCACTGTTTACCATCCGGGTGCTCATATGGAAGCCAATGGTGTTTGCTGTTTTGATGTTCGAAATGGGAGTTGCGTTGTTGACACTGCTGGGCTCGGAAATCCTCATAAAGCTTTGGACATTCATCCAGGTTGCACAACTGATACTCAAAGTTGATACCGGCGCAGTCTTGACCCCCATTAAGAGACCTGGGAGGAAAAAAAATATATTAGGAACAAAATCAGATATATCGGGATTTAACTGTGGCTCCTCACTCTTCCACGTCAAAATACCAATGCTATTTTTGTGGCGGATGGGATTCCTATCAATCTGAGCAGGTAGAATCAAATGGAGCTCAACAACACTTCAAGGGTATTAGTTCAGAATTTAGTAATATAGTACCATGTTTCCCTGAAACTATGTGTTAGGTTTCCAAGAGATGCCCTAATCAATTCATGAGCCTCGAGCCAAGTTTCAAAAGAAAACCAGTCATTTATTAGGAACACCATTTTGGCAATACCACATTGTGGTATTTAAATGATGGCTGAACTTTGCTGCCGTTTCTTCCCTCCCCTCAGTCTGTGTCATTAATCACATTCTCCAATGAGGTGCAAGCCTCACAAGCCTGCTGTAGTAATCTGAGATCTGACTGTAACTGAAGATATGCATGGAATGCACTCCCCCCTTTTTCTTCACCATGGCAACTTGATAACAGACATGCCAATGCTTTATGAGTTGACACTATGACGTACCCCAAAAGTAAGTCCTAGCTTGATTTTTACACATATGCCCAATATAAGTCCCACCCCAAAAATAAGTCCTAATTAAGATCCTGCCCACTCCAGGATATACGGGTAAAAATTTAGCTAGGGTGGGGATGGGAGGGCGTGGAGCTGCCCTATTTTTTACCTTCACATAGTTGCAGCCAGGCCTCCCACATCCCAATACCTGCCTTGCTGGCCCATTTTTTCTGCAGCTGGCAAGACTTTCCTGAAGGCTTCTGCAGCCAATAACAGACCTCCAGATCAATCCAGAGCTCTGTTATCAGCTGCAGAGTCCTTCAGGAAAGCCTTGCCGGCTGCAGAGGAAGTTCTGAAGGCCTCTGACGGGGAAAAGGAGGCTGGGATTGACACACACGTGAAGTGAGTCAGAGGACAAAGTCTCCCCTGAATATAAGACCTGGTGCCTTTTTTGGTGGAAAGCAAAATAAGACAGGGTCTTATTTTCAGGGAGAAACTCACAAAGCACACCTAGCCTGCTCTCGAGTTGCCATAGGCAGGAGCGGGGAGCTGCCACAAACAGAAGCATTTTCCACGCATACCTTTCTCCAGTTTGTATCCCAGGTTACCAGATCCAGCTGGAGAGGCGGGGTTTCTACAGCCCGGGGAAAGCACTCCATTGGAGAACGTGATTTATGACACACCCTGGGAGGCGGGGGGGGGGGAACAGGGTTATGGTCGCGCTGAATATCACGTGGGGCAGAGCTAACTCACTGTCAGGGTTCTGACAGACGCCCTAATTAATCCATGAGCCTCGAGCCAAGTTTCAAAGGAAAACCAGTGATTTATTAGGAGCAGCACATCAGTAGTTCCTGAGCGGAGTTAGCTCTGCCCCACATGATTTACAGCCCAACCACGACCCTGTTTCACATTCTCCAACGGAGTACTTTCCTGGGCTGTAGAAACCCCGCTTCTCCAGCTGGCTCTGGTAACCTGGGATACAATCTGGAGAAAGGCATGCGTGGAGTGTACTTCTGATCGTGGCAGCTTCCTCCTCCTGCCTATGGCAACTCGAGAGCAGGCCAGGCATGCTTTGCGAGTTGACAAACGCAGTATTCCAACACCAACTTCTTCCAATTTAGTTATTTATATTTATTGATTGATATCCCGTCTTCAGAGAACGCTGACTTCCTTGGCTAAAAAGTGGAGATGAGCATCACCTAAACAGCATCGGACTTACCTAGACAGGGGGGAAACCCTTACCTTTATAGATATATATAGATATCAATCTGATGGCAGTCTATACGCAATTTAAAATAAAATCTGTAACCACAAAAAGGGCAGAAAATGCTGCAGCGATTTACATGGGGTTGTTGCACTGTCGTGTTCTGAAGCGAACGCCAGTCCCGCAGGTCCTGGAGCAGGAGCCGAATTTTGTCCAAGCTCCCCAGCTGCCATCTTGCTTCAGCTGATTTGTGCTCTTCCACATGCAGTGACCTTTATAGCACCACTGAGAGGCGAAAGGACAGTCATTCCGTTAAAAAAAAGAGAAATAAAACTTTTAAGGAGCTCTGGCTTCATCCCCGTACTTTCCCCGGGAGGCAAACGGCAGAGATAATTATACTCTATCATTATTATTCTCTAAATCAATCCCATACCTAAAGTTTTTTCCCCAAGCTATCATAGTTTCTTTAACTTGTTCTTCATGCAATTTAAACTCCAATAAATATCCATATAGTTTTTTAATTACTTTTTCATCAGTGCCTGTTAAAATTTTNGAGATGAATAGATGCGGCAGAGGAGAGGAGAGCAGTGGAAATCTATGGGCTGGTCCTTGGGACGGAAGAGCCACTGCTGCTAGCGAAGCCCCACCCTAGGTCTGTGGATAAAAGGCATGGAGAGGTGAATAGGTGTGGCAGGCAACTATTTATTTTCTGGGGTTCACCTTCAGAGGTTTGTTGTGTTTGGGGAGCTGGGTCAGAAGAGCTATTCATTATCCTAGCCTAAACTCTGGGTCAAGAAGGTGCATAGCATCAGATTCATCTTACTACTGTTGGCTTCTAGAAGTTGTGGGTGCTCCAATACTGTAAGGTTTTTGACTTCAAATGGTCACTAAATGAATGTTTGTAAGTCAAGGACTACCTGTACCTTATTTCCATTTTTGTCGTGGCCATTTTAGCTTTTGGTTAAGAAAAAAAACGTTTCCCCCTTATTTTTTCCTAAAATGTTGTTGCTAAGTGAATATCTTCCACATACATCTTAAAGAGTTTACGTGAGGTATCCTGGATCAAGCTGAAACAACCAAATTGTCAAGTTTCCGAAAGATTCCCTAATTAATTCATGAGCCTCGAGCCAGGTTTCAAAAGAAAACCAGTCATTTATTAGGAACACCCTTTCGGCAACACCCCGTTGCAGTCAGATCTAAACCGCATTTGAATTATGAACTTTACCCCTGTTTCTTCCCTCCCCTCAGTCTGTGTCATAGATCACCTTCACCAATGAGGTGCCCGCCTCACAAGCCTGCTGTGATAATCCGAGATCCGACTCTAGCCGAAGGCATGCATGGAATGCGCTCCCCCACTTTCCTCACCATGGCAACTTGATACCAGACAGGCCAATGCTTTATGAGTTGACACAAATTTTATATTATGACGATCACTTACCACACATTCTCCGCGGACGCATATACTGAAGGGGTCTTTGTAGGAACAGCGAGTCCCATCATGGGTTAGTTGTTTCATGTAAGCAATGTCCCCTGTCTCTTTGGACTGGCAGTACAGTTGGCATCTCTTGGCGGCTACAGAGAGCAGGAAAAAATAGCGCTGCCTTTGGTGACTTTTAGGCTGGGAACAATTTACAATTTTTCTAGGAGATGTGGCGTTTACTTTAGGACTATTTTTCTGATATTTTGAAAAGAGCAACTTGTTGGGAAGAAGTCAATAACATGTCAGTAAGTTTACTACATATACTAAAAGAGGGTGAAAATTTGGATGCGTCTTATACTGAATATAGCCCCGCCCTTTGGCCTCGGCCTCCCGGCAATTTGCCTCCTTGCAGCAAACGGGGGAAATGGGGCTTGCAGAGGCTGCAATAGGATGCAAGCAATCCCTGCATCCTGAAACAGCTGATGATCGGGAGGCTCACTTAAACTGAAAGTGAAACTGTTGCTGTTTGCTCCAGGAGACAAATTGCTGGGAGGCAGAAGCAGATTTTTTCTTCTTCTGCTGCTAATCAGGCTGCTTGCTGTTTGCTGCAAGAAGGCAAGTCAATAACTATACAGAATGTTCAAATTATTAGACTTATTTTTTTAAAGACTGCTTTATTATTGTTCTAGACAACTTAACTAAATGAAGAAGCTTTTTTAAAATAAATGCTTGATGTGAAGGTTCCACNTGATAAAGTTATTTCCTTTTAAGTCTGTCTGCCTGTCGTCTTTGAACGAGCGAAGAAGGGGGTTCAGAACAAGTAGGTAGCATATGATCCTTAAAGCTGCCCTGTTAGCTATCAAGTTGGTGTATTTTACACCAACTGCAACTTCAGATGATAAAATCAAATCAAAACATAATGTAACACAATCAAAGGGTGTTAACTGTTGACAAATCGAAATGATTTACAAGCCGTTGCAGTTCATGGATACTGTTCAAATATTGTACGTTCCTTGCCCTGACTGCCATTTGTAGAAATAAAGAGTGATTCCCTAAATCAGTGGTTTTCAATCTTGACAATTTTAAGATGTCTGAACTTCAGCTTCCAGAATTCCCAAATCAGCATAGAGACTCGGGATTGTAGACCTTTAGTGTGAATGCAAACTCATCCCAAACAGGACTGATTTTCAATCACTCTGCCTGATTTCATATTGACCAACAGCATTTATGTTTGTCTAGTTCTCAAGCTGCCTAATATCAAATTTGGATAACATGCAAGGGATGGTTTCTTTAGAGTTAAATGACTAGATCTTGGTGTAATCAGCACACCAATTGAAGTCTTGTCCAAAATTTGGATGATCTCCTCCAGTGAGTTCATTTATATGCTGAAGAACATGAGAGGCAAAACAAATTTTTGTACACCATCATACGTTAGTGGCATGGGGTTCAAACAGAGTTCCCCAGCACCATTTCTGGATATAGAACTCTTACCATTTTCGTTGCTACTGCTCCAATAGTAGCAACAGTCCCGTTTCCAGTACAGTCTTCCATCAAGATGACCAAAACATTTTGAGTACTGTACCAGATTTCAGTTGAAAGCCCAACTGAAATGGATTTAGATAATTAGTCTTCAGCCAAAGGCATCTAAATTGGAAAGGAAATGGAGTAAAATAAATAAACACGGTTTCATTCGTAGATATATATCCCCAATTTTGTCTGCCCTTTCTTTTCAATATTTGCTATTTTAATTTAAAGCATTGATCAGATTGCTAGGGGCAAGGAGAGGTTGATGTCTTTGAGCCTGTGTTGATTCCTAAGGACTGTCTGTTAAACTTCCTGCAGATTTCTTGGCAAAATTTCAGAACAGGCTTACTCTGGCCTTCTTCCCTGGGCTGAGAGAGAATGACCCAAGATCATCCAGCTGGCTTTGTGCCTAAGGTGGGACTAGAACTCCTGGTCTCCCAGTTTCTAGCCTGATGCCTTAGTTATAGCACCCAATCCTGGGGCCCTCCAGATGCATCCCTTCAAGGTGGAAGATGTAATCCTATACATCTGAAGTGCATCAAGATGAGAAGAAGAAAAAAAACCAAGTGACTATCAATCAAGCTTATGATTTCTCTCTTCCTCCTTTACTTCTATAGTTGTCTGTGGCTCTATAAGGCATGAAGATACCCAGGTGGCAACATTCTCTTTCTTTGTGAATTACATTCTTCTCCCTTCCATTTTGTGCTCCTGAGAACTCAACTGTGTTGTCAGAACATGCAAATGGCATATATAGATTTTTATTCCACATTAACATAACTTCTTAAATGTTCCAAGTGCAGTAAAAAGCACAGCTAATTTTCCCTGAGCTATTTTTTTTAAAGCTCCTCATTACTCTTAATTGTCCAAACTTCTTTTCTTTCTCTCTGATTAAAAGCAGATTTTAAAAGAGCAATTCGGCACCACAGCAATTTTAGAGTCAAATGAAGCCAGCCCCCTCCTCAGTTATTAATAACACTAGTGCTGCTTTTCCCTCAGGTGTTGCTGGTAAAAGCACTCAAGAGTAGGAGGTGACAGCAGCTATCTTTCCATCCATCTCTAGTGGTGCCAAGTGTTGTCAAAAAAAGAAAGAAAGAAAGAAAAGAAAAAAGGAAGGAAGGGAGGAAATGGAAAAGGGGAAAAGGAACCAAACTGTATAAGAGATCCTTAATAGAAATGTTTTCAGAAAAATCAGATATTGTATTATTGGATGAACAGACTACTTAGCATCCTGAGATGCAGCCTGTTCCATACATAGAACCTATATACTTTCCCTTTTTGGCTTCAAGTTTGAATATTTTGTTTAAATGCTTCAGGGGATTTAAATAATCTGAATCTGATCTTATTCTCTCAGGATAGACTGCCACTTGTCAATTCTTGTGCCAATTCTGACATAATTGGTCTTTATTTTATTTTATACTAGCTGAGGCACCGGGAGGGCAGGAGGAGACCAAGATGGAGGCGGAGGCCGGGGGAGGTGGCGTCGGCTGGGCCAGCAGGCCGGGCGGGAAGTCCTCCAAGCCAGTGGCGCTGCTGCTGCTGGCACACCAAGGCAGCATCGCAGGCTGCGCCATCTTCTTCTCCCGCGCCTGAGTCAGGCTGTTGCTGCTGCTGCTGCTGCCGGCGGGAGGAAGGCCTGACGCCACCACCGACAATGACGACGCCTTCCTCAGGTGCCGGCCCGGCCGGGCTGAGGAGGAGAGGAGGAGGAGGCGACCCCCCCCCCCCCCTTTTACAGGGTAATCCGTGAAAAAAGGCAGGAAGGAAA